TGCCTTTGTACTCACCAACTGAATAAAAGTGCGAAGCATTTTTATCCTAAGTTTGTGAGTACAAAGGCATTAATTTACACATCGATAAATTCTCAAAAAAAAAAAAAAAATTGAAGCTTCCATACAATTTGTTATTTTTGTGCAGCGTAGGAATACTTTACGCCGCGATGTGGAAATGAAACTTAATGCAGATGAACATGGATGAAGTTCTATTTTGATTGTCAAAACAAACAACAAATTTAATTCATAGATACACCTCGATCATTGTTTAAGTCAGCAGAAATCGTAAATACAATTAATTGCACTTCCTTGACATTAAAAACAAACGCTGTAAAACAAAAGTAGTGTACCGACGACACTCTCAATTTGGTCTCTGATTTATTACAAAACGGGGAAGAGAAACACGAGGTGAAGTTATTCATTTGATGCTACTGAGGCGAGAGATTAGTTTCTATCTCCTGTCATGAGGTGCTGCCGAGAACTGGACTGATTTGTTTAGCACTTGGAACGATGGCAATATGACTTCAGAGATTTTTCTGAGGTGTTTGCAATTGCTTTTCAAAAGCAGACTAGAGGTAATGAGTTCAATGATTAATTTTTTCTCTCCTATCTTTATTCAAATGATCAAATTTTTATTTGATTCATAAATCTGGAAACTGAACATTGATCGGGTTGAATTGGTGGATACCGTATAGCGGGTATTTTTACCAGGGTGCTAACTTTGGATTATTTTAGCGGTTTATAAGTAGCCCGCTAAAATTTTAATCACTAAATTTGCACTCTTGTGTATAAGTACTGAATACGAGAGAAATAACTTTGATCAGTATTTGTTAAACAATACATTTTCATCTTGTATTGGTTTTTTACTCAGATTCTTGTCTAAATCGTATTCAAACGTACAGGTGTATGTAAAAAGTACTGAAAACTCATCTAGAAGATGAATTTCCTTTCTTTCGCAACATCATACAAATCTGTGTCGGCCAAAATATAAGTTCCATCAGAAATATTGGCATACCTTTGAACAAGCGAAACGCCAAATTTTACACCCGCTAAAGAAACCCGCTAAACGGTATTAGGTTATAGCACAGAAACAATATCATTCATGAATTCTTGAGTCGGCTTGGCCAAGATCAGGTGCCCATGTTGGTTGCAGATTAACAAAAAAATTATTCAAATGAAATGTATTACAACTATGTTCTATGTAACACTACATCCTTTTGGCAGATTGTCTGAAATTTCTGTCCATTTCTGTCAAGCGGTTAAAAAGATTTCACTCTTACTATATCAGAGACCCAAGTGGGCTACGGACTATACATATTCAGGCAATAACATTCATCTTTATTATATTCAACTTAACAAAAAAAGTATAATTCTACGAAAGCCGGATAGGCTCATTTTTGACAAGACAAAAAAATATTTAACTCGTTATAACGAGATAATTATGTCGTATAACGAGTTAGTATCTCGTTATAACGAGTTAGTATCTCGTTATAACGAGTTAGTATCTCGTTATAACGAGTTAGTTATCTCGTTATTACGAGATAATTATCTCGTTATTACGAGATAGTTATCTCGTTATTACGAGATAATTATCTCGTTATAACGAGTTAGTTATCTCGTTATAACGAGTTAGTATCTCGTAATAACGAGTTAGTTATCTCGTTATAACGAGTTAGTTATCTCGTTATAACGAGTTAGTATCTCGTTATAACGAGTTAGTTATCTCGTTATAACGAGTTAGTTATCTCGTTATAACGAGATAATTATCTCGTTATAACGAGTTAGTATCCCGTTATAACGAGTTAGTTATCTCGTTATAACGAGTTAGTTATCTCGTTATAACGAGATAATTATCTCGTTATAACGAGAGAGTTATCTCGTTATAAAGAGTTAGTTATCTCGTTTTAATGAGTTAATTATCTCGTTATAACGTGATAATTATCTCGTTATAACGAGATAAAAATTGATCTAAAGAGTTGATATATCTAAGTAAAGAATAGACCATTATTTATAGGAAATATACAGAAGCGAGTAGATCAAATTTGTTTGAAGTGTGCGTGATAAAGATTTAATGGAACAACAGCATACTAGTTTTTTGTGTTATGCCTTTGATTAGTATTGTTTATTGAAAAGACCGAAGACAAATATACGGAAACTTATGACCGCCTCATGATGTTGTGTTATACCTTAAAATTGCAAAATAGAATTAGTGTCATCTTCAAATGGAATGTATATAACGTCAAAATTTTGTCAACTTGTGCAAGGAGATCAGAAAAAAATATATATACTCTGGCTGATTAACTGCCCTGATCAAGCTTTCTTGACTTTGTTAAAATTATGATAATTTTTGCGTAATATTTGTCGCAATAAAAAATGCATAGAAATAATCCCATTATTTCATATATTCCGAATTAATGATGTCGATATGATACCATTTGTTAGGCTTTAACGTCCATATTTTGATAATTCCTTGCCTGTTAACAAGGAATACCAGTTCAATTTTATCGTCTTAAAGAGGCAAGATCAAAATTCAATGTTTGACAAAAAAACTAAATTCACGTTGTTTTTATCATCAATCCCTCCTTCCCCTCAATAATAAATATGATGAATTTCAAGAACAATAATGTACTTATCACTTAATAATTTGTATATTTCTTATGTTTATTAAAAGAAAGAAACATTTTAATTTACCAATTTGGCATGAAATCTCATGTACAATATGTATTTTTGCGTTATTATCAATGTGGTAGAATAAAAAACTTTTGGGGCTCTTTATTCTACGGAAGGCAAAATAAAAAGGTGAAGGTCAGCAGGCTGAATGTAGTGCATGTAGGAAATTCACATGCCTCACTTTGACAATAGTAAAAACAGTTGACATTTTTGTGATCCTTTTGGGGTATAGAATGAAAGTTTAATATCTAAAGTTTACAATATGATATGTGTGATGGAATTGTAATTCCGGATTTTTCTATTTTGCTTGTTCACAATTGTTGGTTTCTTAGTTTAGAATTTATGCATTTCCCGGTAAACGACACCTTGTATGTTTTTCAGTTTTCCGAGCTATGAAGAGCCATAGAGTGAGTTTTATCTATTGCTTAATGTTAATCACACTGTTCATGATGTATCTTATTGGTTTTATAGAGTTTTTAAGTCAGATTTTGTGCATATTTACTTATTACTCTATACACGTGTTGATGATTGGCTCAGGCCAAGTATAAAACATGGATATGTCCATTACATTTTGCATATCAAATCTTTGATTAATTTCATTGATACTTACCGTGTGCATAATATCAGGTGTGTTTGCATTGATATGTTGTTAAGCTAGATTGTTAGATTTAAAACTACTGTTTGCTAATGTGTAAAACCTTCATTTTCATCTATTTTTTAATTTTGGTATAGTGTAAAATTTGGATTGGCATGTTAGGATTGAATATGGTTCATAACTGTCATTCAGTTGTATTTTCATGGGAATTCATACTTATGTATCTTTGTTATTTGTTTTCAGTATTTCACCCTCTCAGGAGGAGGCACAATAAATTTGCAAGACTAAGCAGACTTGTTGTAGCACAGTGAAATATCTGGCTCCACTGATGTCGGCCAAGATGAGCCTGAAGCCGGAACTAAGGACAGAGAGAGAGATGACCCGGATGCGTCAGTTATCCACACTGGGACAGGAACAGTATGAAGCTGCAGTTGACAGACACCTTCAGAAGATTCGCGACATCAAAAGGGAAATTGATGGATGCATAGATGATATTAAGTTACTAAAACCCTCTAGTGAAAACTGTATTGACGCCTTTCGACAGCTCTTGAGTTCATGCCATAGCGCATACCTTAAATGTTCAGAGGACTTTTTAGCCTTTTTACAAGGCACACGAACAGCTGAAAGCCTAAATGAAGCTGCAGCACACCGTCTTATTATGGATGCTATGAGTGCAAAGTTAGATGCTGTGCATCTTAGTTTAGATGAACTCTCTAATATGAAAGACTCAAAGGCTTATCAACAGTCAGATGAACACTTATCGGCACGGTCACTCAGAGTGCAATCAACACATTCGCAGCAGGTTCAAAGAAAACATAGTCCTAGCAGATCCAAATCAGGAAAATCTAGTGAATTTTCTTCAGGACTCATCAAGTACAGCTTAAGCAGGAGTGGAAGTTCAAGTACCTACCTCCAAAGAGTGGAAGCAAAACTAAACGCATCTCGAGCTAAGTTGAAATACGTTGCTAAGGAGGTGATAATTCTCAAGGAAAGGGCGGCGTTGGATGCACAGCTAAAGCTAGTAAAGGCTGAATGTGAGATCGAAATGCGAGAGAAGGAGATAGAGGTCATGAGAGAAACATTTAAACTTGAGAGGGAAGATACAGAGATGTCGTCTACAAGAAAGTTACGCACGGAAGAATATGTGAAGAATCTTCCTCACCCACAGCTTACGCAAGTTCAACAGAATGATGCTCCTCCTAATGTGGTCAAGGAAGTCAGAGATTTTGTTCAAGACACAGAACAAGTAAACAACAACAGTGATGCACATTGCAGACAAACTCACCTGGACCCAGATGCTCCTTCTTTCACCCCTATTAGACCTCCACCTCACAGAGTTCAGATGATCACGTCATCCCCTCTGCACGTTGAGAATTCTAACAATATACATAATACCCCTGCCGTTGGAGATCCAACGTGTGATTCATCGTCAACAAATACATGTAACCAGATGACGGAGTTTACCAAGTTCTTAGTGAAAAAAGACTTACTTTTGTCACGACTTACCAAGTATGACGATAACCCAATGTTCTATGTTGCATGGAAGTTAAACTTCAAAGGGATCATGAAAGAGTTAGACACTACATCAACTGAAGAACTGGACCTTTTGGTTAGATGGTTGGGTCCAGCATCGTCCAGACAAGCCAGCACCATTCGTGCATGTAATGCAGACAATTCAGCACTAGCTGTAAGGAAAATATGAGAGAGGCTTGAGGAGAGATTTGGTTCACCGGAGATGGTGGAAAGGAGTCTGAAAGAGCGCATTACTTCTTTCCCTAGAATCACCGCCAATGACAACAAACGTCTATTCGACCTAGCTGATCTAGTTAGTGAGATAGCATCTGTGAAGGAACAACCACAATACCATGTTCTCTTTGGTTATTTTGATTCTTCTACCGGGATAAACCCGATTGCATCAAAGTTACCTTGGAACCTACAGGAGAAGTGGGTGACAGAAGCTAGTAGATTCAAACGGCAACAGGGAAGCACCTTTCCACCCTTCTCGATATTCGTCAAGTTTATACAAGACACGGCCAAGACTCGGAATGACCCAAGTTTCCAGTTCGACCGCACAGAAAGGACGAGTTCAAGTTCGAGTGTGCCAAAGAAAACATCAACTGTGGTTGTCAAGAAGACTGAGACTACAAGTAACACTACCAATCTAGACGATTCACAATTGTGTCCATTACACAAAACAAAGCATTTACTCAACGAATGCTCAGCTTTCCGCAGGAAGCCCCTTGAAGAGCGCAAAAAGTTCATACTTTCCAATGGCATATGTTTTAAGTGCTGTGGACCTAAGAAGCACAGAGCTATGAACTGTAAGACAAATGTGAAATGTGACGTCTGTAAAAAATCTTCACATCCAAGTGCACTTCATGCGGATGTGGATTGCCACGTAGGGGAGCCCTCACCAGAAGGAACAGTGAAGAATGCTTGCACTAAAGTTTGTGGAAAACCAAGGGGTACTAGCAGGTCCTGTGCTAAGATTATACCAGTTAGAGTATATCTAAAGGATGATCCACAGAAGTGTCGAGTTGTGTATGCTCTCATTGATGACCAGAGCAGCCATTCATTAGCAACATTGCCATTCTTTGACTTCTTTTCACCAGGAAGTTCTAAATATCAGTACATACTGTCTTCATGTGCAGGAAGACTTACTACTTCAGGAAGGAGGGGTCATGGTTATGTGATCGAGTCGTTGGATTTGACATGCAAGTTAGAGCTACCAGTCGTCATTGAGTGCAACGACATACCCAATAACAGAGATGAAATTCCGTTCCCTGCCGTTGCACAGCAGTACCCTCACCTTCAAGAAATTGCTTCATTCATACCTACTGTGATGGATGATGTTGAGATTGAACTTCTTATAGGAAGAGATGTTGTCTCAGCACACCATGTTCTGGACCAGAAACTCGGTGAGAGTGACCTTCCAATAGCCCAAAGGCTCCCTCTTGGTTGGGTCATTATTGGACAAGTTTGTATGGGAAATTTGCACCACACAAATGTTATAAACGTGAATAAGACATTCATACTACAAAATGGTAGACCATCTATATTCGAACCATGTGATAGTAAGTTCCATATTGCTGACAACCCATTTGTGAAAACAGAACATGACGAAAAAACTGGACTCTCCTTTGAGGATAAAGCCTTTCTTCATGTGATGGAATCTGGCATGAAGAAAGAGGAGGATGGGCATTGGTCAGCACCACTTCCCTTTCGACAGGATCGACCAGTTCTACCTAGCAACAGAGCACAAGCTGCGAAGCGTGCTAAGTCGTTTGATTCCAGTCTCCAACGTGACCCATTAAAACGTCAGCACGTACTGGAATTTATGGATAAAATCTTCATACATGGACATGCTGAGAAGGCACCGACCATTCCCCAAGGACAAGAGTGTTGGTACCTCCCCATGTTCGGGGTGTACCACCCTAAAAAACCCAACTCCATAAGAGTAGTATTTGATTCCTCAGCTCGTCACGAAGGGTTATCACTGAATGATGTATTAATGAAGGGACCAGATCTCTCAAACAGTTTACAAGGCATTCTGCTTCGTTTCCGTCAGAATGCTGTTGCCATTACAGCAGACGTGGAACAAATGTTTCATAATTTCCAAGTTGATGAGCCAGACCGCAACTACTTACGCTTCTTATGGCACCAGGGGAACGACTTTGAAAAGCCCTTAGATGAGTTCCGGATGAGAGTGCATGTTTTTGGGAACTCCCCTTCCCCTGCAGTGGCCACATATGGTTTACGTCGATCTGTTGTTGATGCTGAACCAGATGTCAAGAACTTTGTATTTCATGATTTCTATGTAGATGATGGGCTCACTAGCTGTGACACTGAGGAGAAGGCTGTAAGTCTGATGAAGCAGACCCAGAAAGCACTTAGGGAAGGAGGAATGTTGCGTCTCCATAAGATAGCATCTAATTCCAAGTCGGTTCTCAGCCAATTTGACCAAGATGACCTTGCTAAGGACTTAAAGAGCATGGATTTTGGTTCGGAGATTATGCCAGTGCAGAGGACTCTTGGTGTGGTTTGGAATATCGAATCTGACAAGATCACCTTTCAAGTTTCAAAAGAAACAAAGCCCTATACTCGTAGAGGAGTACTGTCAACAATAAACAGTTTATTCGATCCTCTGGGTTTTGTCTCACCTGTCACACTCAGAGGTAAAATGCTTCTTCGTGAGATGATGTCGCCTCCAGGTCCCACCAACTGGGATGAACCACTTCCAGAATCCTTTCGTGAGCAATGGGAAAACTGGGTGAAATCGCTTCGTCAGTTAGAAGAGGTTGAGGTCCCAAGGATGTATGGAAGACTTTCATTATCCCAGGTTCCTAGTACTGAAGTCCACATATTCTGTGATGCCTCTAAGGATGCTATCGCTGCTGTGGTGTACATCAAGACTATAGGAGAAGATTCATCTGATGTAGGATTCTTGCTTGGAAAAGCAAAGGTAGCACCCAGTCATGGCCATACTATACCACGTTTAGAGTTGTGTGCTGCTGTGGTTGCTGTTGAGTTGGCTGAAGTGGCCAAAGAACAACTGGATCTCAAGAAAGAAGATTTCCATTTCTACTCTGATAGTCGTGTGGTGCTTGGATACATATCAGCAGAAACTAGAAGATTTCATGTTTATGTAGCTAACAGAGTCAGTCGCATCAGATCATTCTGTGGACCAGAACAGTGGAATCACGTACCCACAGAGGACAATCCTGCAGATGGCGCCACTCGCAAGTTTAGAACTTCAGATCTCTCAGACAGCATGTGGTTAAGAGGACCAGACTTTTTACGAAGTGTCAAGGTTGATGATGTGAATGAACACTTTCCTCTTATTGATGCTGAGATTGATAAAGAGATAAAGAAAGAAGTATCAACTGCTAAGACAGTGCTTGAGCCAGTATTAGGTTCGAAACGCTTTTCACGTTTCTCAACATGGAAAAGTTTAGTGAGAGCCATAATGACTTTGAAGATGCTTGCCAGGAAAACATGTGCCTCTCAGGTCATTGATGACACCAATTTGCTTGAGTCTACAGAAAAACTCATCATCAAAGAAGCGCAGTTAGAAACTTACGGTGCAGAAATCAAGGCCATTAGAAATGGCAGTGATCCCCCAAAGAACAGTCCCCTCTTACCCTTGAATCCTATCTTGGGTGTTGATGGTCTCCTTCATGTCGGTGGACGTATCCGTCGTAAACAAGTCAAGCCGGGTGGTGATCAGCATACAGCCCATCCCATTATAATTCCAAAGAACCATCATGTTGCTGTTCTGATAATACGTCATTATCACTCCAAGATACACCACCAGGGCAGGCAAATGACAGAAGGGGTTATACGATCTTTTGGTTATTGGATTGTCAACGGAAAGCGCATGATTTCATCTGAGATCCACCACTGCATTACTTGTAGAAAACTTCGTGGGAAGTTTGGATGGGTTCAGATGGCAGACTTACCAGAGGATCGACTGCAAGAAGCTCCGCCATTCACATTTGTTGGTTTAGACGTTTTTGGACCCTGGTCAGTTGTAACAAGGAGAACACGGGGCGGTTCAGCTAATTCAAAGAGATGGGGTGTGTTATTTACCTGTTTAGTGTCTCGTGGAGTTCATGTGGAACTTGTAGAGGAGATCAGTTCGGCCTCATTCATTAATTGCATGCGTAGATTCATAGCGTTACGAGATCCCGTCCAGCAGATTCGGTCTGATCGAGGGACAAATTTTATAGGGGCTGTTAAAGAACTCAACATTGATGCAGAGTTTGTCGAAACTGGACCAGTAAAGGATTACCTGACTGAAAGTAAAATAGCATGGGTGTTTAATCCTCCCCATGCATCCCACTTCGGGGGTGTATGGGAGAGGATGATTGGGTCACTTCGATGCATTTTGGATGCTCTTCTCCTAGAGAACAAATCCTTTGACTTGACACATGAAGTTTTGTCAACCTTCATGGCGGAAGCCTGTGCCATTGTGAACAGTAGACCACTTGTTCCAGTCTCCTCAGATCCTGAGGCACCAGCTGTCCTTTCACCATCATTGTTGCTGACACAGAAACGACCAGACATCACATTTCAATTACCCAAGTTTGGGAACAAGGATGCTCTGCGCAGCCAGTGGAAGTTAGTCCAACACTTAGCTGATGAATTCTGGTCAAGATGGAAGGCAGAATATCTGAATGCATTACAGAAACGTGCAAAGTGGTTCAGTGAAGGTGAACAATTTAAAGAAGGAGATGTTGTTCTTGTTAAAGATGAAGAATCCCACAGAAGTCAGTGGCCATTAGGAGTGGTGGAGGAAACATATCACAGCAAAGATTCCAAGACTCGTAAGGTGAAGGTGACTGTGGTTCGCAATGACTCCAAAGTGTCCTATGTGCGCCCAGTGTGCCAGCTAGTAAGACTGGTTGAAGTGATTTAGAGTTGTCTAAAACTGTAATTATTACAGCTTAATTGATAAATATAAACTGTAAGCCATGTACATTTAGATGTAATAATGCAGTATATTCATAAGTCCATGTAGCCTTTTAACTGAATTTTATATTGTTGACGATACACCCTTATGTGCGTCACCTAATGTTCATTTCATTTATTTGATGATTTCTGATAGAAATCAGTAGGGGAGTGTGATGGAATTGTAATTCCGGATTTTTCTATTTTGCTTGTTCACAATTGTTGGTTTCTTAGTTTAGAATTTATGCATTTCCCGGTAAACGACACCTTGTATGTTTTTCAGTTTTCCGAGCTATGAAGAGCCATAGAGTGAGTTTTATCTATTGCTTAATGTTAATCACACTGTTCATGATGTATCTTATTGGTTTTATAGAGTTTTTAAGTCAGATTTTGTGCATATTTACTTATTACTCTATACACGTGTTGATGATTGGCTCAGGCCAAGTATAAAACATGGATATGTCCATTACATTTTGCATATCAAATCTTTGATTAATTTCATTGATACTTACCGTGTGCATAATATCAGGTGTGTTTGCATTGATATGTTGTTAAGCTAGATTGTTAGATTTAAAACTACTGTTTGCTAATGTGTAAAACCTTCATTTTCATCTATTTTTTAATTTTGGTATAGTGTAAAATTTGGATTGGCATGTTAGGATTGAATATGGTTCATAACTGTCATTCAGTTGTATTTTCATGGGAATTCATACTTATGTATCTTTGTTATTTGTTTTCAGTATTTCACCCTCTCAGGAGGAGGCACAATAAATTTGCAAGACTAAGCAGACTTGTTGTAGCACAATATGCATTAATTAAGGTGTATTTTAAGCATAAATTATGCCTAAAAATATGTATTGTATAGTGAGACAGGATTTTTGATATTTTCACTCGTGCTTCGCACTCATGAAAATATAAAAAAAATCCTGTCCCACTTGTGAAATGAATTCCATATCAGCTACAAAACATTGATTATCCTCCATTTATTAACCTCCCCCCCCCCCAAAAAAAAATCATCAATCTCTTTTTGAAATTAAAATTATATGCTTGCAAAGTATACATAACAAATATTGTGATGAGGAAAATAATTAATGATATTGCTTCAATGTTGTATTAATAATATACATGTAGTATTAGCCCTATTCGTTGATCAATCCTAAGTAAAAAAAAAAACTGAACTGGCTTTGTAAACTCTGTAAGCTTTTTTTTTTGTTTTGTAAACTCTGGTTTGATGTTTTGTCACCATGTGGTAAACATAGGATCCACCAAACAAACGTGAATCTCAAATAGGTCTACGTGAATCTCCACAGCTTGGACCCCCCCCCCCCCCCGGAAAAAAATATAAACAGTGAGTCATGACAGAATATTAGATAAAATGTCAATTAATATCAGCAGATCAGATCTAACGTCTTATTACTTAGAAGGTTGTAATATCATTTTTACTTTATCATTCCTAATCATCGTGGACAATCTGCATAAGCTTAGTCACAAAGTTCAAGGCGAGGAAGGGGGGGGGGGGGTAAACCAAGTAAAATATTTGACAAGCAAAAAAAAAAACAAAAAACAAAAACAAAAAACAAAAGAGATTTGATATTCCAACTACGAGTATTCGCCATTATTTTCGAGAGATATTTACTCAGGTAAAAAAAAAATCTGGAGGAAGGGGCACAAAGATACTCTTAACCGCCCCCTTTTCAAAAAAGGTGGTGGGAACATTAGCCCCCTATTACTAAGCCTATAATCTAACTGCTGATGTCTCACCATCCACCTTCATCAAAACATTTCTGAATCTCAAAAATAACAAATGTATCACACTGTAATCGTATATATTATATGTTGCATAAACGCGTGCGATATGTTGCACTTACATTGTCTCTGATATTTAATTTTAGCGGTATAGAAATTGATACATGAAAGTGTATAAGTCGTCGAAAACATGTCGAAATAGTGTCATTCATCAGAAATAGTTGTCATAAATAAATTGCCAAAGTTTAAAGCAAGTATATTTGGCAATATTTTTTAAAGAAAAATATCGCGTCCTAATGCAACAATTTGAGGAGGCGTTCACGAATTAATGTGTAAATGTGTTCGCCTTAGAGTTGCTATACTTATCAAAATATGATTATTGACAGCGAGATAGTTCAAGATTTAATCATAAGTAAACCCCAGAGCAAATTAAATTTTCAACCATTAATCAATTGTTCAAGTTAAATTTGACTGATAATTCCTAGCTAAAAATTCAATGGCATTAAAACTATACAGCTATTTTTATTCCTATATTGCTATTAAATCTTAAAATGAAGAGAAAACTATCTCGTTATAACGAGATAATTATCTCGTTATAACGAGATAACTAACTCGTTATAACGAGTTAGCTATCTCGTTATAACGAGAAAATTATCTCGTTATAACGAGATACTAACTCGTTATAACGAGATAGCTAACTCGTTATAACGAGATAACTAATTCGTTATAACGAGATAACTAACTCGTTATAACGAGATAACTAACTCGTTATAACGAGATAACTAACTCGTTATAACGAGATAATTATCTCGTTATAACGAGATACTAACTCGTTATAACGAGATAACTATCTCGTTATAACGAGTTAATTTTTTTTTTATTTTGTCAAAAATGAGCCTATCCGGCTTTCGTATAATTCAAATACAAACTCTTCACAAAATATTGTCTGAGCAAAACAAATCACATTATTCATTTCCATTTAAATGTTACCGTATATAAAGGACATGGGTAAATTTGTTAATCTTTGAGAGTTTTTCTACTCTTAATATTTGGACATTTGAAATAAAAATGCATTAAAGTACTTTCAATTATTCTAAAGATACTGTATATGGGGATGAAAATTTCAAACTAATTTGGTAATACTCATAGAAAAACTGTGTCAGATATTTTTTGATTGACTATTTTGAGACCTTGGGCTACGGACTATACAAATAGTATTTTCATTTAATGAGAGACCATAGAAAAATAGTTGCTTTTTTCAGTAAAAATTTGTTAAAATTATCATCTTGGAGTTCACATGAGTTTAATAAATCCTTTCGTTTGGATATTAAATCAATTTATACAAAATCCTGTGAAATTTAACAAAATAAAACAAAAACTTTATATAAATTCACAATAAGAGTAAAATATAAATAGTCAGAACAAAATAATACATGTCAGAATTACATGTAATTGGTGTTTGATAATAAAATATTGTTTAAAACCATCTGAAGACCAAGAATGAGCTTTAATTTAGCATCTAAGAAGGATAAATTTCATGTAAGCACGGGGGCTACGGACTATACCGTTAAACATTTCTATTGTGGACAATCAACTTAAAGAAAATATAATTGTTTAATTAAATTTTGGGCAATTTTTTTTATTAATTGGTTTTCTATAACTGTTCACACCACTTAATTTGAGTATTTATAATACCATACTTCTTTCATTATAATTTCTGTATTGTTTCACTGATGTTATAAAGTAAAGAACTGGCATGCATCATTTTAAAGTTCTTTTTTAAAACTGCATATAATATAAAGAACTGCGAACGATAGTATTGTTCTCCCGCCTATCTCCAAGTCAATTTTCAAAAGTTAACATATTTGAATGATTTTTCATATTTCTATAAATATTTATATGAATTTTCATAAAACATTACTTCTTTGGGAAAACAAAGAGAGATAACTCAATAATTTGGGTAAAACTTGTGTTTTTCACTATAGAAATCAACAGAAAACGGAAAATATTTTTAAAACATCTCTCCCCCCCCCCCCCCCCCCCGTGAAACAAAGATTCCTTTTTACAGGTAATATGGACTGTCATTTCACAAATTCATACCAAAGCTTTTTGTGTTTCACTGGGGGGAACATATATTTACAGACAAAAAACTATAAAAATGCTTATTTTTTCACCAATTTCAAAGGGTTTTACAACTAAAACATCGCATTTCATTAATAATATATGCTTAATTTTATATGCGTAAAACATAAGAAAAGATTTAAGGAACATTTATTCATATCCAAGAATATTTTAAAATGTGTTGATGCTTTAAAGCCCGATTTCAATGGAAAATATCGTCTATCCCCCTCATTTTAAGACCTGGAATTAGGGGTAATTAACTATTTATCACTGGCATTAAAATTATCAGTCAATTACCATTGAACTGTTCTTTGCATTCAACAAAGATTTTACAGTCAAATTGCCATTAATATTGAATTAAATGGATGTAAAATGTAGGCGGGAATCGAGAGTTAGCGTGCGTAGTTCCTAAACAAAATATCTCTATAAATTACATTAATTATTCATCTTAGTAAAATGAATCTCTCATGATAGCTGTCGACGTCGGCGTACCACCAAGGACGTGAAAAAAGGAGTTTGTGGTTTTTGTGATTTAATTTAGAAATTGTGCCTCTTTTCTTTTGAATTTTAAAGATTTGATTGACCCAGAAATTTGACATTCTTTTTAATTTTCCTTTTATTAAGCAAAGTACCAATTTCGGACATACTTAGTAAAGGCATCGAAAAATTGCAAAATCAGATCTCTGATCTGACAACTTCCAAAACCCGATTATGAACCTCTCGACTGGTCTCCAAGTATGACGGCAAGCTTCTGACTTTTCAGTTTGACGTCTTTGTTAAGGTCTTCCGTCTCCAACGGAAGACCTTATTGTTTTCGTTCGGTTTCTTTTTCCCTATTATTAGGTTTTCCGTTTTCAACGGAAGACCTATAGTGATTCTACTGTTTCTTATTATTATTATTATTATTATTATTATTATTATTTTTCATTTTTATTTTTCTGACCTTTTCAAATCGCGATATCTCAAAAACTACTCATTCATTTTCAGCCAAATTTTCAGGAATGATTTGTTATCTCATGCCATTTTGAAATATTGAAAAAGTTTGGAAAAATTTACTTCCGGTCGGGAATTATTACGATTTTTCACTTTTTACACTAAAAA